GGCGAGCAGCGGCCGCCGCACGGCACCGCCGCCACTGACGGGATCGGCGACAGGTGGGCGTACGACGGGTGCGTCGGGTAGGCCGGCACGTACGGCGCCGGGTACAGCGGCGACAGCGGCGGACGGGGCGGCGGCGGCGCGGCGCCGGCCGCCGGCACCGGTCGCGCCGGCGAGGCGCGCCGCGGCCGCGGCGGCTTGCCGGTGATGCGGCGCAGCTCCGGCGGCGTGCCGCCGCCGGGCTCGCCCGGCAGCGACGGCGACGGCGTGCGCGCGCCCTCGGTGGCGCGCCGCTGGTCTCGTGCTTCGATGTAGCGGTCGAGTGCGGCGATCATGCTGCGGTAATCCGCGTGCACGTCTGCCGCCGGCCGGTCTGGCAGCGGCGGCGCACGCCGCGCCGGCGGCGGCGAATCGTCCGTCACGAACTCGCCGCGTTCGAACGAGTTCACCAGCCGAGACACAACACCGCCGCCCGGCGGCGCCGGCGCCGGCGCCGCCTCCGACTCCAGCACGTCGCTGAGCCAGGAGCGGGCGCCGACGGGCACCGAGAACGGGTCGGCGCCGGCCATGACGGCACGCCACTGGCGGCCGGCGCCGGAGGCCGGCCGACGGCGGCCGACGCGCAGGCGCCCGCCCGCGCGCCCGCCCGCCGCCGTCGGCCGGGCGGCGAACAACAGCGAGCAGACAGGACGGCGGCCACCTCCCCCGTCACGCGCCCGTCCGCCTCCCACGTGCGAGGCATCTCGTGCGCCCGCGACCGCAGTGCACTGAAAGCGTCCTCCACACCCAGCCGGCGGCGGGCGCGGGTCCGGCCCGCACATCACGGGTGGCTGCAGCCGTCGCACTGCATTGGGTAGACGGCTTCCCGCCGGGCGTGTCTGGCCGGCGGGCGGTACCGGAGCTGCACGACACGTGGCGACGGCTCTGCAGCGCCACTGTTCTACGGCTCGGCCGCAGCGGCCCTCCAGCCGGCGGTGCCACCTCATGCGCTTGGTCTCCCCTCCCCTCCCCCCCCCCCCAGCGTCCGACCCATTCGCCTCTCCTGAATCGAGCGCGAGCGCGCACGGCTCAGTCCAAACGGACGCATTGGTCAAACGTGCGTACGTCGGCGTGCCGTCTCGTAGCCGGCCAGGCGTGGATCACAAGCCTGAGATGACAGCTCGGCGAACGGCTTGACGTGCGGAGATCGCCGGAGCTGCCCGAGCAATGACGAAGCCCGCGGTAACGCCCGCATTCCAGGTCATGAAATCTGAAGTCTTGTCTTGATCCATCGATGTCTGGATGCCGCAACAAGCCAGGGAAGCTGTCCGATGAGTTTATTTTATCGCAGATTTCCCCGCAAGCGAAGCAGGTGAGACCGCATTCCAATTTAAGACGGTGCGGACCGTGCCAGCAGGCAAACACATGTAATTGACAGACTGGACAGCAAGTCCCTGCTGGGACGGAACATGTTGGGCGTTGGTCGCCTCTGCCATAGCACTCCTGACGCGAAGCACCGCACCAGATGCATCTCAACGTGGGACGTGGTAAACTCCTGCCACGAGGTGACGACAGCAAACTAACACCTGTCCACCAGCCCCCTCCCCCTAGCTCGCGCTGCATCCAGCTACCCCTCGTAACCAGGGGTCCTCTTGGGCTCGACGAACGTGGTGAGGAACGTCTCGAGCGACTCCTGCTGCGGCAGACATGGCCCGAACACCTCCAGCAGCAGCGGCTCCATCTTCACCGTCGCCTCGTAGTCCTCGAACGAGACGAAGCCGTCGTGATTGACGTCCAGCTTCTTCATCACCAGGTCGATGAGGTCGCGCACGCCCTCCTCGGGGTCCTCCTCCTGCGGATTCTTCATGACGCTGTTCTTGAGCAAGTGGTAGACCTCGTCACGCGCCAGAGACCGGTCGCCGTTGAAGTCGTACACAGCGAAGCAGTAGTCGATACGCTGCTGCAGCGTGCCGCGCAAGAACACCGACAGGCCGGTCACCCACTCCTCGGCGCTGATCAAACCGTCGTTGTCCTTGTCGAAGACGCGGAACACCCGGTCCATCAGCATGTCGTCGGTCATGTCGAACGTGTTATGCAGGACGTCGCGAAACTTGCTCCGATCCAGCCTGTCTGTTTTCGGCCGCAAGGTCTTCTTAAACATCAGCAGCAGGGCCTCGATCTCATTTCGATTGAAATGTGTTGCCTTTACCAAGATGTCGAGCATCTGGTTCTGCGTCTTCTTTGATCCAATCAACGCCATTCTTGCACTGTGGTGTTCACTTCCAGCAGCTAACTTTTAAAGATGCTACCACATAATTCAAGAAATTTCACTCTTTCACGCATCGCACGGGACTTACCAGAGGATGCTTGACATCCAACGTCTCACGAATAGTAGGTGAGGGTACTAAAATTCGTATTGTTAGGTATGAAGCTTCCACAGAGTATTACAGTCAAATTCTTGCCACCAATGTTTTGTTCAATGCGACCACACCGGTGACACGTGCAAAATCAATGCTAGCTCCCGCAGTTCCATAACATATTTGATTTTTTTCACATCTTTTAATCTCCGGTGCGCAGACACATCACTCCAACATACCTCACGTCAACACCAGCTGAACTATCTTCCAACGAACTTCACAAGACAACAGCCAGAGGCACGAGCTTCGCCGCGCCGTGAACGGCGCCAACGTCGTAGTCTAGCTACTAAAGGAATGCACCTCTGGGAACATTCGAACGGCGTCGGCTGAGTGATCTGATCGAACACGCGCCGGAGCCGCGGCGCCGGCCGCCTCCGCAGTCATGGCAACGGGTATAGGTGGCGCCTCCGTCCAGACCGTGGCCACGCCCCGAACGGTTAGAGTTGGAGACGCCCTCCCTTGAATTGCAGTGGTAGAACTAATGGTCGGCGCTCATCCCAACGGTCGGGACGACACCAGTGACCAAACCTTTTTCCTAACAAGAGCAATGCTCAGCTCTTTGTTCCACAGGCGGTGGGGACAGCTGCGTTGGGACACCCCTCCCCCACGACCGCGGTAGTGCTTAGCGCTCAAATCCTGCGATGAGGCGGCAGCCGTGGCCAGTGACCTCTCCCACAGGCGGACGTGGGGAGGGGGTAGCCGGTCATCGGAGCTGGCTTCGCCGCCGACCCCAGCAGACTGGCGCGTGGGAGCGACGGTCCCAGTTCCTCGGCGTCGACAGCGTGTTTGTTTTCTTCGTGCGGAAACGCCGTGCCTCAGACAACTACGCCGTTGTGGCTGCTGAATTCGGCGAACGAGAAGAAACAAACCGACCGCCTGAATGTGAATAGTGCCGCGGACGATTCTTCGCGCGAGTAATCGATTCTGCATCCAGCTGCACCCAGCAGCTCTATCCGAATGCCGCACATACACCTTATCAATGGACCGGGGCTGAAGCCATAATGGAGAGAAAAATGGCAAAGACATCACAAAAATCCCGCAAAAAGCACCAAAATCAAACAGCTGCAGCAGCTTGACAGCCCTCGCTCGCTCGTGGCTCGATGCCGCGTGGCACTGGGCGAGCTTGGCGGACCGGCTGGATCCTGCCTCTTCTGAGCCGCGCTGGGCGGACGGCCGCCGGACACCACTGATCCGCCCCGAGCGCCGCACTGCCAGAACCAGTCCAGCCAGGCTTGTCAATAGGATAGGGGGAGTGGCACAGCAACAATCCTCATGCTGTGGACAAGCAACGCGCGGACTCGGCGCCCGTGCCCTTGTGTCAACCCACCGGAAGTGGGGCACGTGCCCTGTGACGCATCTGATGACACATTGCTGTATATGCCTGTCGGGTTCTTAGCGTCACCATGAGACGCGAGCAATAACAATCCCGTCCGCTGTGAAGAGTGCATTGATCCGAGCCATCATTCACTCCACACCAGGCGAGCGATACTTCGATCCCTCAGAGGCGGGCGACACCAGTTTAGCACCTTCACTGACGGCTGAAGCAGGGCTGAATATCAAGCAGTCCTTGTGCTTGTGTGTGTGGCACATATGCCGTAAGCGAAACAGACGCCCGGGTGTCTCACGCACGGTCCGTCGGCAAAGGAACCCTTACTGCCAGTTGTTACAGTTGCAGAACAGCTCACGGCTGCCCAGTCCACCCACGCCCGGGCGCCAGCCATCACAGGCCTCGATGCCTTCTCTCTTTCCCCTGTGTATAGCTCGGCGGTACTCTGCGTACAGCTTTCTTCGGTTCCCCTCTCTGAAGTACTGCCGTCCAAAAGGAAAGTGATCTGAGTGCTATCAGGTGAATGTTTTAGGAAAAGCATTGCTCGGTTTCAGGGAACTGGACGTGCTTATTTTAAAACAGAAACTCGGACAAATTTTAGACAGAAATGTTTACAATCATTTCATTTGACTTCACAAGCTGCAGCTATTTCAGCTGCATCGAACAACATAAAAGCTGCATTTCGAAAAATGGCGCATAGAACTTTTTACCTTTGGATGGCAGAGTAATGGACAAAATGAAGATATGGTGACACTGTGACAGCAGTACTGCAGGCTTGTTCGTGGCAAAGGGTCAGTTATGATGCAAATGTCACCTCGCTGCCAGTCCCTAATGAGAATGCTCGACGCCTGCGCCACCTGCACATTTCATCCACCCGTATAACTGTGAGGCAATTCGGCGGAATGCGAGTCCACGTGCGAAAAACGCCAAGCTATCGCTCACGCCCACTCCGTGGTCAGTGCATCAGGCCATGCTGGTGACCGTGGAGCTCCCGGGAATCTGGATCCGACCAGCCGGCCGTCATCAGCGCCGCCGTGCGGGGCAGTACGCCGGAGTGTGAGGCTCAGTGGCAAGCGTGCCACAGAATGCGGTAATGAGGGCTCATTGACTGAGTTCGGAAAGTGCGGCGGCCGGCCGGCGGGCTCCTGGCGCGCGCCGGGCCGCAGTGCGGTGCGGTGTATCACGTCTGCCAGGGCGCGGTGGCCGGCGGACGGGCTCCTAGCGCGCGCCGGGCCGCAGTGCGGTGCGGTGTGCCACGCCCGCCGGGGCACGGTGCTGACCTGCCGAGCGCTCCTCTCGACGTTGTTGTTGCCCGCCAGCCAGGTCAGCAGGAAGCTACACGTCTCCTGGGTCATGGCGGTCTCCGACGGCGTGCTGGCCGCCTTCTGAAACACCGAGCGGCAACGTCATCTTTCCCGACAGCTGGCAGACGCGGTCCGCGGCACAATTACGGCACACAGGGAGAGATGAACGAAGTGTCATGAAATGCCTGGAACGACGTGCTAGTGCGAATGAAACAGTTATTCGGCCTATTGTTCTTGTCAGTGGTCTGCCTGCACAACGTTTCGGCCAGCAGTTTGCCCGACCGCTTTCAGACGCAGACTGGTCCTAGGGACATCAAGATGCTTGGCGCATGACAATGCATGCACGATCTCGATATCGTGATCGAAGTCCTGGGCTCAACGCTGGTCACTGCCATGCACAAACGCGATGCGTGCATACGCGACTGCCAGGCATTGTGTGAATGCGCTTCAGTGGCATCGATTCCGACTCCGACTCACAACACTCTGGTTTTGTCCCAGCTCTGACTTCGCGCACTTCAGTGCAGCTTGGAGTTCACTCCCATACCGCCTGAGGGAGGCTGGCTCTAATGTGGATGGAGTTTGTTCGGGCGTCAGCCTAGTTCAGGATTTTACCAGTACTATGACATTCACATAGGTCCAAACGGCCTTTCTTTTGACAATAACACAGTTAAACACACCGTGAGAGGCTGAATAGCCCAGATGTTCGTGTAACATTCGTGACGTTTGATGTTCACAGCAAGAAATTTCCTGACACTGTACCCGGCACGGGTGATCACAATCCTCCCGTTAGCCGCCCGCGTTTCGTGCAGTCCTTAGCGTAGTGCTGAGAATCCGGTGTTGAGGAGCGGAAGCTCGAATGATTGGCTAGTTCGACATCCTTGACGTGAGCAAGAAAGGCATCGAGTTCCTAGATTTTAGGTATTGTGAACTGGGAGTTCTTATTCTGCGAAAGATTTACTTTCACTATACCAGAAAGCACTGATTTAAACGACGCTAGCAGGCATTAGCAAGTTTTCTCAGTGTAGTCAATGCTTGCCTGCTAAATTTGTTCAACCAGCATCTCCTGGTATATCACAGGGCAATTTTTGATTTTTCACACCAGGCCATAGCCCACAATATGTTGACATTTCTATGGGAAGGTCTGAACAGATTCAGAACATCCCTGCACGAATGCCTTATTTTTTGATGCCTTGCCTATTCTGCCTGCCTGCCTATTTTGATGCCTATTCTGCTTAGCCTTGTTCATTCGCGACCACAAGCACAGTTCGAAACGTTGAATTTGGCAATAGAATCATGCTTACTTGGTAACATGGTTTATTCAGTACCTCCTGGTACGCTGAAGGTCGATTACTACCAGCATATGAACTCCAAACTCAATGCCGAAAAACCAGAGGCTCACGGTCTTTCTTGGTTATATCACTTGCATCGTGATGCCCATGTCCTATTTAGCGGCTTGATCCACTCCGCTCCGACTTCTTTTTAAACGAAAATTGCAGAGGAATTGCCCATAACTCGACTCCATGCAATTCTGGTTGATCCTGAAGGCGGTTCCGACTCCACCCAGGATCAAGCAAGCTCAGTGGCTACAAGCCCTATACCCTCAGATGCTTCTACCAATAATCTGGCCTTTGACGGCGGACGGAGAGTTGGAATCAGTCCAAATGAGATGCCAGCTGGCGATAATCTGCTTGAAAAGAAACAGATCGCAAATACCATCACTCGTATGACCACATATCATCATGACGAATGATATTTGAAAAAATGTCCTACTGATGATACATATGCCATGAATGTCAAGTCCTATCAACAATTACACATTCATTACCATCCATCAACATGCACGGACGGCAGAAGCGATGTGTTTATAGTTATACACTATCAAAAAGATAACTGATAGGATCGGAAGATTGAGACTGCCCGAAGTCCACGCAAAGCTTGAGTGTCCATACCGTGTCAAGGGGTTCCAAAACATACTACAGTCAGACCTTTGAAGGAGGTCTCGGAACAGCCGGTAGCGATGCACGACGGAGGAACGACATCCGAGAACAGCGGGTGATTGCTTACGGCGGAGGAGGAGGGCCAGGACCATGGACTGAATGGAAACGACGGCGGGGAGGGGGGTCCAAACCAGGGAACAGCGCCACACAGCGGGGCAAAGGGCGAGCCCGGACCAGGCAGACGGGGGACAATCGGCTAGCGGTGGGAAGATCGGACCATACAGTCGGCCACACGTGGCGACGAGGATGGGGAGCCCCCCACAGGCGGGAGGCAGGGAGGCCACCCCACGGACCGCTGACAGCGGGCGTACGTCCGGGCCCGGCTGCGGATCCCGCGCCTGTGGCGTCGGACCGGCGCCGGCTCCCACTGACCGCTGAGAGCGTGATGGCCTGACGGAGCCGGTCCGCCGCCTCCGAGACGGGGTCGGTGACGGCGGTGACCGCGGCGACGGCCGGCGGCCGTGGGCTCTGCTCCAGGCCGGCCAGCTCCAGCTCGGTGCCTGCGGCATCGGACAGGGACGCTGGTCACGCCGGGCCGCGCACTCGGCGCCGCTCGCGCTGGGGCAACGCCCGGCGCCAACTGAGCGCAGGAGTCCACCGCCACATAAAAGCACATCATCACCACTGGGGCAGCACCACGCACACACACACACATGAGAGCCGCCGTGCAGCACTGGGGACCACGGTCGTACGCCACACGGAGAGACAGCACCGCGCGCGACGGAGGACCGCCGAAACACTGTCCCGCGCAAACGCATCGGACAAGCGGCCGAAGATGCGCCGCAAATCGCCGGCATACCGCACACGCCTCGTTCGGCCGTCTCCATGGCGTCTGGTCACAGTCGTCCTGCAGCGGGCGCCGTATCTGGCGGCCTCCGGTCCAGCCGCGCGTGTCCCCGCTCCCGGACGAGGTGGCCGGCCTCAGCCTGCAACGCGGCGCGCTCTGCCGGCCCTATCGCACGGACGCCAGCCGCCGTCTGCCCCGATGACATCACACGCACCGCGGTGCCGGCTGCGGTCTGCCGCCGCCCGTCCCCATTCGTCACGTGTGACGTCACCGCCCGTCTCTGATGACGTCACACACGCACCGTCTCGCTGTCGTGCCGTTCCGCCAGTGCAACACTGAACTCCGCGTCCGCCGCAAAAAAGTATGTGTCGTGTGGTGCACTCCTGTCACGATCCGTGCGGCGTCAACGAGGTGAAGGTGTACGCGGAACGCGATATGAGAGATCGTATATCGTTCCGTACCACGCTGAACATGTCAATAAAACCCTGTATGTTTGCATGTTTCGACACATACTATCTGCATGTCACTTGTAAATTGAACCTTCTTCATTAAACATGCAAGTCAAGCCGCAAAAACCCATGAACTCAGTCATTCTTGCAATCGCAGTCACCTTAAACTCTTTCCAGACTGCTCCGTTCGTGAACGTATGACGAGGGAGGTTCAGCCTTTCTGTGACGTCAACTCACGGCATATCTGATCGGTCCCTTCCCTTATTGTCTTTGCAACGCTCTGCACGCCGCCGGGGGCACACTTCTGCGCGAGAGCAGCCCTGCCAGATCTGAAAGTACGCGACTTCGCAGAGCACATTCAATACAAGTCGTGACTACGCTACCCGGTTCACCTATTGTTTTAAGCATGCGAATGCAGCAGCCACAACTCACAAGCGACGTCCACTCTCTCACCGACTGCGGCGAGAAAACAAAACACGGCCGACGCTCGCCGCCACCCACGACTTCGCGGCTATAAGCCCCGCTGTTGACATATGAGCCAAAGCAGTGCGTGCGATCCGCAGAGACATCAGTATAGCTGAACTCAGCAGGAACACCGCGCTCCGAGGTCACGCCAGACAGCAGATGGCGTGGGCCGGGCCCTTCCGTCGGATCCCGTTACCCAGCACCCCCATAAAGACTGAGCACTGATTAGGTGCGGTATGCACAGCACCAGGAATCCAGCATCAGCCCGGCGCCAAGAGACACACCACCCGACGAAGCCTACACCGGACCGGTTCCGCGCAGATGTAGCAACGCTCAAGCCAGCTGATTGTGCGGCACGGGCTTGGACAGGTGTCCAACTGTGGAGCTGTTCAGACAGGCGGCCGCTTGTCATTTGCTCCCATGAAAACATCGCAGTGCATTTGAAACAGTGAGCAAAATGTGTGCGACAGGGCCTCACCGCCGGTACGTCAGACAGTTTTGTTTACAGAGCTGCATCAAACCGTGGTCTACATCAACGGCGCATGGCAAGCACGTCAAGCATTAAATTGCTCATAGCGCTTGGGCGATAACGTTTATTGCACCGAACGTCCAGTTGAGCGCAGCACAACTGCCCAATCCGGCACACAGCAGCCCCGCCTCGTGTTAAAAGTTGGGGCTGTTGTTGTCTTAGAATGAGCCCATTTCCACGCGACGCTGGTAGGCGTAGTGCGGAATTCTGCACCGTAAGACGGACTTGCCCGATCCATCTCCACAGCAACCCGGAGCGCAGTGTGCTCTTCCAAGGTTAGGGGATAGGCGTAACGCGCAGCCCGTCCACCCAGCCCGCAGTCCGCAGAACGTGCAGTGCCGAAGCGGCACAGAGCAACCATGGGACCATTCGGACCAGCAGCTCACTTCGACCAGCTAAACCAACGGATCAGCCAGACCAACGAATCCGCCAGACCAACGGATCAGCCGCATCAACGGATCAGTCACACCAACGGATCAGCCAGACCAACGGATCTGTCAGACAACGGATCAGCCAGACCAACGGATCAGTCACACCAACGGATCGGCCAGACCAGCCAGCGCAGGGGCCGGCCTGGTGCGGCCCCGCGGCGCCACCCACCGGCGATGATGCTGTCCATCTGCTGCAGAGCTGTCTCCAGCATGCGACTGGCCTCCTCGTGGTGGTTGGTGTCGCCGCCGCGGGTCGCCATCAGGTTCGGTTTGTCGCCACGCCGTGACGCCCCACCGTACACCATCTGACCGCTCGGGTGCCGGCCGGTCGCGGCTCGCTCGACCTGGGGAGGGACGGCCGGAGTGAGGCGCACGCCGCTACCCGCTCCGCTCGGGCGCCGGCCGGTCACGGCTCGCTCGACCTGGGGAGGGACGACCGGAGTGAGGCGTACGCCCCTACTCGCTGCACTCGGGCACCGGCCGGCCGCGGCTCGCTCGATCAAGGGAGGGACGGCCGGAGTGAGGCGCACTCCGCTGCCCGCTGTGCACCCACTGGTCTCCGCTCCGGTGGCCGACACACTGCGGAGCGACGACCACCGCTACCCACCAATCGCACACAATCTGCACATTTCTTTGACGGACGACCGGAATTAATGAGAGGGGAACGGTAAAAAAGACCGGGCATTGCATGCAGCACAAAGCCAGGTGTGACTCACTGGTGATCCAGGCAAGAGCAACACACCGCCGAAGCTGGGGCAGTGCCCGCGCAGATCGTCGAAAACGGGGTCTAAACCGTTCTTATGGTAATCATCTGTACCGTTCCACGACAAGGATTCACGTCACACAGGTCATTTACGGTCTTCGCGGGGCCCCGTCGGCGAAGTCCGCCTCACCACCGCACTGAGCGCCGCCGCCGCCGCCTGCTCCGCACCTCCACCCCGGTACACAAGGCGCCCCCCGCCGCCCGACACCGCGCCGCTCGGCCGGCCGACTGTGGCGCGCCGCGCGCCGCCGTGCGCGGCCCGCTTCCGGCCGCCACCCGTCTCCAGATGCGGCGCACCCGGTCCCAATCGGCGCACCCCACACGTGCCGCTGCCGCCGCCACACGCGGAGACGGTACGGGCGCGCACAGCTGCCGCCGCGCGCGTCGATACTGGCTCGAGTGGAGGCGATGCGGGTCGGTGGGGTCGCGCAGCGCGGGCGGCGCCGGCGGGGATCCGGGCGCCCATCCGCGCCGCAGCACCGGTCAGCGGCGGCGCTGGCGGGGATCAAAGAACACACCCGCGCCGCTGATGCCTGGGGAAGGGGGGGGGGGCACCGTTGTCTGTCTGGTGTTTTGGGCACGGAGCTGCTCGGCTCGTCAGACGCCGCCACCGCGGAGGGGAGGTCGTTCAGCGACGGCGGCGACTGCCCGCGTGAATGCCAGTGTGATTACCAGTAATGAGGTGTGCGGTTCAGGCGTGCGCAAGTGCAGAAGTTCGGCGCCGGTGCGAAACAGACTGACATGCTACGGAGCAAGTCGGATGCAGTTTATGGAAGGCAATCAGTCAGAAGTGATGTCTGCTGGAAACCCGACGTCAGCAATGCGTGCTGGTTTGTCAGGACTCGGTGTCTGCCGCGCCAACACCAGAGAGCATCGAAGCTTTCATTCTTGATCGCGTTTGACCCAGTCACAGAGAGAACTGGACGTGTAAGGACAGGGTCAAATTCAACGAACAGTTGACACGGCCGCTCCGGTGTTTAAATATTCCTCCATTTCCGACCTCAGTCCGAGGTCAGCTATTCAAAGCGCAAGCCCTGAATGCCTCGGCATCGAACACGTCCCAGCCGGTCAGCTTTGCACGTGGTCGGCGCGGTAAGCCGGCGATCGGTGCACCCCGGTGCCGGGGCGCGCTGCCTGCACCGCTCAGTATCGGCCGCGCAGGCTGAAGCCCGGCAACCTCGTCCGTCCGAGCCTTGCCCTGTCCGGGTCTGGGTCAGGTCATGGCCCACGGCACGGGGTCAGGTCATGGCCCACGGCCCGGAGTCAGGTCACGGCCCGGGGTCAGGTCACGGCCCACGGCCCGGAGTCAAGTCACGGCCCACAGCCCGGCGTCAGGTCACGGCCCACAGCCCGACGTCAGGTCACGGTCCACGGCACGGAGTCAGGTCACGGCCCAGAGCTCGGCGTCAGGTCACGGCCCACGGCCCGGAGTCAGGTCCCGGCCCACGGAACGGAGTCAGGTCACGGCCCACGGCCCGGCGTCAGGTCACGGCCCGGCGTCAGGTCACGGCCCACGGCCCGGGGTCAGGTCACGGCCCGGCGTCAGGTCACGGCCCACGGCCCGGGGTCAGGTCACGGCCCGGCGTCAGGTCACGGCCCACGGCCCGGAGTCAAGTCACGGCCCAGAGCTCGGCGTCAGGTCACGGCCCACGGAACGGAGTCAGGTCACAACCCACGGCACGGCGTCAGGTCACGGCCCACGGCACGGCGTCAGGTCACGGCCCGCAGCCCGACGTCAGGTCACGGCCCACGACCCGGCGTCAGGTCACGGCCCGCAGCTCGACGTCAGGTCACGGCCCACGACCCGGAGTCAGGTCACGGCCCACGGCCCGGCGTCAGGTCACGGCCCGCAGCTCGACGTCAGGTCACGGCCCACGACCCGGAGTCAGGTCACGGCCCACGGCCCGGCGTCAGGTCACGGCCCACAGCCCGGCGTCAGGTCTTGGCCCACGGCCCCGGGTCAGGTCACGACCCACGGCCCGGCGCAGACACTAGCGACACGTCGGCTGCCGCCGGCGGCAAAAGCGTGACGCGGGTTGCACCTCCCAGCACCCTGGGACGCACGCCGAACGCCCCGGCACCCTCGCACGGTCAACAGCACCTCTCGGCGCCGATCGCCGACCGCACCCGCGCCCTGCCGGGGGATGCGTGCCTGCGTACAGAGCAATGCACTCGGAGACGCTCGTGCGGTGTGTGCCGTCCGGCGGGGTGACGACCGGCCAGTCGCGCCGGCAGCGGCGGTGGGCACCTCTGCCCCGGAGGTGCCGGGGCCGTGCAGACAGCCTCGAGGCGCCGGTGACGTGGCAGAGGTCTGTCACGACAGCAGGCTGGGGACGGCTGATTGCCGCCAGCCGAACGCGGCGCCGGCGAGAGCCAGTGGTGGCAGTCCGCTCAGCGGCCGGGGGCATCACGCGAGATCCAGCCGGGGTGCCGGTGGGGGTCAGCTCTGGTCCAGCCGGGGCATCGGTGATGGACCAGCTCTGGTCCAGCCGGGGTCCGGTGATGGACCAACTCTGGTCCAGCCGAGGTGCCGGTGGGAGCCAGTTCTGGTCCAGCCGGGGTGCCGGTGGGGGCCAGCTCTGGTCCAGCCGGGGCGCCGGTGATGGACCAGCTCTGGTCCAGCCGGGGTGCT